TTCAGGGCACAGTTATGTTCTGGTATAAACAGTTCCCGAATCAGAGCCTCATACTGATGGTGACTTCTAATTTGGCGGTGAAACCTACCTATGAGGAAGGTTTTAATCAAGAAAAGTTTCCCATCATCCATAACAGCACCACCTTTTCAAGTCTGACAGTGAAGAGTGTGAGGACTAATGACAGCGGCTTCTACCTGTGTGCTGTGAGTGACACAGAGCTGGGCCAGGAACAGGAACCCCGACAAGAACTCACAGCCCTCTGCGGCCCCTGGAGACCAGGGAGGATGTGGGGACAGACCACAGCCCTGTGCTGAGACAGCTGTGCGGTATGAGAGAGGGAGAGAGGGAGAGAGGGGGCGAGAACACACACAGCACAGTTCCAGGCGAAGTCAGTGGCCTAACTCCCTGTCGCCCCCCCTTTTATATCTCAGTGATTGACTTTGCACTATTTCCCACACTCCACAATACCGGGCACCAGAAAACAGTTCATTTCATTGGGCTGGGGCCAATCAGAGTCCCCAGGCCCGAAGCAGGAGACTCTCGCAGGGACCAGCAACCCCAAGCCCTTGGCTCTTGCCCTGCTGTGCCTTCTGCTCTTACTCTCTGCGCTATTTCCTGGCTCTGCTCCCGCCCTCCTGCCCAGCAGGAGGTGAGCCCCTGGACACTGAAGGGGGACAGAGGAGTCCCCCCTGGACTCTGAGGATCCCAGCATAGAGCCCCCCTGAACTCTGAGGATCCCTGCCCGCCTGTCCCCCCACACAGTCACCGGCAGGTAGAGGAAAGGTGAGTCTGATCTCCCAGCAGGTATGGAAACATGGGAGCCAGTGCTCCAGTGTCAGGGATTCTGGAACCCTCGAAGGGCAGTCTGGAGGAAGTGGGAGAGAGGAAGAAAAGGAGTCAAAGGAAAGGAACAGGAACCACAAATGATGAAAAAATTCAGACACCAAGGGAAGAAGACTCGAATGGCCCCTGGAGGAGGGGCTGGGAGGAGGGAGAGCCAGGGAGGAGGAGACTGAGGGGATGGGCCAGCCCTGCCTGGGGGGTTGGGGCAGGCGGTGCTGTGAGGCGGTGGGTGCCGGCCACAACCGGGCCCCAATTCTGCCCTGCAGGGCCCAGGGTCCCTACCTAGACAGCTAAGGCTTAAGTCTAAGCCAGGTCTCCTGTGACCAGCAGGAGCAGAGGAGGAGCTGGGTGTGCATGCTCAGGGGGGCCCAGGGTCACCCCAAGCTCTGGGCTCAGGGGCCCAGCCCGGGGAGGCAGGGGAGGAGCGTGACCGTCTCTCTCCCCGCTGGACAGTCAGAGCCCACTCGAGATGTTCCGTCTCCACCTCATCCCTCCGCCTCTGACAAACCACTGCATCAGCCAGGGCATCCTGGGCTCTCCCTCCCTCCTTCCCTCCCTCCCTCCCTGGTCCTCCAGAAAGCGCTGGGAGCTACAAGCAGGCGCCATCCCTATGGGCAAGCAGGGGATCTGCTGGGTGGCCCTCGGCCTCCTCTGAGCAGGTGAGTCCTGTCCCGGGGGCCAGCTCCTGACCCCAGCTGCGCCCCGCGGGCACCCAGCTCCCCTCTCTCCCACAGGCCTGGTGTTGGGTGGCATCACTCAGACCCCCAAATACCTGCTGCAAAAAGAAGGACTGGCTGTGACCCTGCAGTGCGAACAGAATTTGAACCACGATGCCATGTTCTGGTACCGCCAGGACCTGGGGCGCCTCTTCTACTCATCCGTCAGCAAGAACGTTCAGAAGGTGGAGTTGTCTGAGGGCTACAACGCCTCTCGGGACCAGAAGCCGGCCTTCCTGCTCAGTCTGGCCTCTCCCCAGAGAGGCCAGAGCGCCCTGTATCTCTGCGCCAGCAGTGTAGACACAGTGACTCAGGGAAGCCGCCTGTCTACACAAGAACTGGCCTCTTCCTCCAGGTGCAGCTGCTTCAGGGCCACTAGGGTGCCTCAGCCTGCATTGGGGCGCCTCAGCCTGCCTCAGGGCTCCTCAGCCTGCATTGGGGCACCTCAGCCAACACCAGGGGCCCTCAGGCAGACCTGGGAGC